TGAGCTATTATGGGATGGAGAGAATCTGCCTAGAAGGCTTTCTTCGATACTATCAGTAATATATAGGTATATAATAGTCGCAATCGCCTGTGACAGACCATAAATCTGCAGCTGCGATAGCCTATTCCTTCAGTCTCTCAGAACTGAGATGAACCAATCGTATTGTTGCCAACATTTCACAAAATGCCGACTGTCCCAGAATGGGGATAGTGAACCACATATTCTGGTTTTGTCCAGAGTTGGAGCATTGTGAATTTGAGTAAATTGTAGCAAATTTTTGCCACAAGAATGTTTCGACACAGCAGGCTTAGAGATGCAGAGCAAAAATTATCGGGAGACAAGCATCACCCCTAATCTGACAAATCTTTATGTAGAGGGTGGTCTCAGAGTAGAGTATGTGAATCTTGCTGGTAATAAACTAAGCAGTCCAGTGATAATCTTCAATTGCTAATTTTGGAATACTTCGTTCAGAAACATTGCTTAGTAGAGCACTTGTTTCCTCGCATGCCCATGTAATAAATCAGGATTAAAGTTTTGATGACATGATTTTCAGATTTCGAACTGTAGGAAAAGTTCTCTGAGACATACATCATGAATGTAGGTGTCTGTCCATAACCCTTACAAAGAATTTGACATCCATCATTCATGAAATGAATGATTGAAAAACAAACCTTTGATAGACTTTGTCAGTTCCTCACAGGCTTGCTGGCGAATCTTCTGTAAGCCGTGTTTTATTGCAGGATATACACCTGTTAACCAAATATTGCGGGGGGAGCAAAGCATGCGAGATTACTATATATATATATACAGGAACAACATCTGATTTTCCAGACACTGATGGTCGGACCGTCATTTTATCTGGATAAAAATTCAGTTGAAAATTCCCGTGCCCCATATTAGTTAGCCTGACGAACTTACACCGCATCACCAAGTTAGGCTGCGTCGCATCATAGCTGGTGTATAACCCGCGTCGCCAAGGCGTCGCCGACAGTATCCACATAACTAGCATCGCCACGTTGCTTTCGGCCGTGTATGTACCTGGTATACATATACTATAAGAGATATCTGCGTGCCCGTCACTTGCTGTCTGGTCACAAACTACAATTTCGATTGTGCATTTTTCAACTTAAGTAGAAGTTTAATCTTTGCAGCGTCAAGTCACGTCACGTTCCTTAAGTTCACTGTTTTTTCTTTTATTACAAATGGCTTTTCTATAGCCGTTATTTCTTCCTTAACCTCAACACCATTATGACCTAAAGATGCCGGAAGCGCAGATTATGGCCCCTAGCCCAACACAGGTCTCGTTGGAGTAAATCGACAACAAACTCAGTATGTCACACACACGCGATGCGCACGGCACCGCACGCACACACACACAGACACACAATATACTCACTCTTGTATGATTGTTTCTTGAAAGCGTAACTGCCTCCGATGCTATGCTATTAATGTATGGTGCGACTATTAATGCGCAATTTCATTCCCATGGCTGACGTAAATGATGTCTCGCATGTGTATACCTGGCTGGCTCCTCCTCTTGCCAGTGTTAGTCTCTGTTTTGACTCAATTCTGCTAACAGACTGTCTATACGTTTCTCTGCAAGTTCAGTCTGTTCCTCTAGGCTCCTTCGGTTAGCTTTGGTGACTGAACATTGAGCATTTTTTTCATTTCGGTGCAGTAAGTTTCAGCTCGTTTCCTCCTTGGAAATCTTAAAGATTCATATGAATTCAGCTTTTAAGAATATGAATACAACACATCTACGGACATGTCAATCAAGAAGAAATGGTGTATACGCATACTATACCTCGATGATTACCTATACCAATATCATATTACACATGTGACATAAATGGTGCATCAAATTAAATTCTAAAGTTCAAAGTTGTTTAAAAAAAATCAACGTTTGTAAACGTTTGGTGGTACTGCATACATTTTCATTTTGGCTGCAATGAATGAGTTTTTAAAGACTAATGATTATCACAGTGTTTACATTACATCTAGAAATAAGTTTAAATAACTGATCATCTGGGGAAGTACTCATTTCATCCAAGTTCCTTAAAGTTATATGTTTAAGTTTGTTGCTTGCTTATTCTAGTAATTTGTCTGATGTTTTTCGAGGCCTCCTCACTCCACATATCTGATGATTACACAATTAGAATATTAATTTACACCAGTAGGCTAGCCCTTTCTAGAATGAAATCTATAGTCCAGACATGCCACACATTCATGCAGCCAAATAGTAAAGATTTACTATTCCTGGTTTTGACAAACGCCGCAGGGTTGTGGGGGTGGGCCAATGGGAGGTGGTATCCCTCGCATTGAGGCGGGGGGGGGTTTGGGGGTCCTCCCCCTAAGAAAATTTTAAAACTAGATGCTCTGTTGTGCATTCTGGAAAGCCAATCTGTGGTCTTTCAGCAATTGATTTAATTCAGGCCAAATTGATGGTTTTGTCTGGCTGGGAAAAATAGTGGGAAAATCAATAATTATTTCAGAATGATTTATCAAATACGAGAACTAAATTTTATTACAGTCAAACTTGGCATACACCCACAATCATAGGAACATTTAATGGATAGGATACACGCTGCATTATTGTTACGTGTATCTCTTCTTAATTGACTCAATGTGGATCTTAGCACTAGTGACACAAAATAACTTGATAAACAACATTACTTCAACATGTCAGATCTCAATTGACTAGAGGTGAACTAACTAACTTTCTCTGTCTGTCTGTGTCTTCTGGCTCTGTGTTGTGTGTGTGTGGTATGTGTGTGTGTGTGTGTGTGTGTGTGTGGTGATGTGTGTGTGTAGCTGTGTCGGTGTGCTGTGTGTTGTGTGTGTGTGTGTGTGTCTGTTTTCTCTCTCTCTCTCTTCCTCTCTCTCTCTCTCTGCGGTCTCTCTCTCTATCTCTCTCTCTCTCTCTCTCTCTCTCTCTCTCTCTCTCTCTTATCTCATACAACAAAGATAAAAATAAAAAAACTGTCAACTTTTATGCAGGCTGGACTAGGGAATATACTGCGTTAGACACTAAAAGGTTCGTAAATAATGGTGACTTAGGGCGTATGGCGTAATTTAATACACCAAATCGAGTAAGTAACTTAAGCCAAATCGTATTGGTTGGCATGTCTGTATATCTAGGAATCACTTACTTAATACGCCAGATCTAAAAATCTAATGATAGGCCTTTGATATATTACCCGGAGTACAATATAAAGATACAGCTGTGTAACTTAAGTGACTTCACTATATTAACATGTTATCCATGGCTGTGCGGGGCGAGCGCTCGAGCGTAGTGGTGGTGGTGGGAGGAGGGGGCGGGCTCCTAAGGCTTCTAAAAAGGCAGTTCAGTCCTTTGTTAAGCAGTCAACAATCCGTGTTTACCCTCTCCTCTTGGAGGGTCAAAAGGTTCATCAGACACTTACTCTTGTGCACATCAGCGGAAAGCACATTTCATGGTCCTTTCAATAAAGTGATAACAAATGGTAGGTCATGCCGCTGAAACAAAATGTTTTGTCAGCTCAGTGTCGTTAGACCAATCCCTCAGAAAAATGTTGATATCTGACTTTCCGCCCATGCCCTTTCGACCTGTGACGTCCAATTGTCGCGCTGGTGATGGGTTTCGCTCCCCATCACACTATACATCGAATATTTAAGATGCGTAGCTCAAGCCGTTGAGATTTGTGCTCTGAATTCGCGTATGTCCTCACTATAACCTTAAAGTTAAGGTTGGAACATACTTCCCCCTCCATTGACACAGCCTTGACCTTTGACCCTTAACTCCCATTCGACATCCGAGCGAGTCCTTTCCCGATCGGGCCCCCCCCCCTCCTATACCTTAAGTTAAGTGTGAATATTCCCCTCATTGACACCTACCCTGGACCTTTGACCCTTAAAGCCCCCAAACTTTCGACATCACAGAGTCCTTTTGTGCGACCCCACCCCCCCGCCGACGTCCAGAATATCAAGACTGTAGGTCGAGCGGTTAAGATTTGTGCCCAATTGTTGACGGACGGATGGACGGACGCTCATGCGATTCTACAAGCTGCATCTGACTTCGTCAGCTGAGCTAATAAAAGGAGCTAGATGTAGATGGGATACTTGCAACATTGCTTTTGGAGATCCTGAAGTTCCTCATGACGCTTTTCGAGTTTGCCATTCAATTCCTGTATATTGCTAGCCTTCCCTTCAAGGCTTTCCATCAAAGTTTTCAGCTGCATTGCAATAGAGTATTAGGCTATTAGCATGATCGCAGTATGTAAAACATCATATATCACATACATGAGCATAGCATACCATAACATTAGATATAGATGAGCTCATTCATACATCATAGGTTTCATGCTTAAAATAGTAGAAAAGTATTTATAAGAACAGAAATGTTTCGCAAATGTAGTTGCAATTTAACACCTATAATAAATTCATATACATAGAGATCAGAAGTAGATCATAGAGTACCGAAGTGTGACGTCACGTTGGCAAGACAACGTACGGGCTGGTTCTACACAAGCCACTGGCTCCATAGTGTAGCCATAGCGTGAAAATGTGCGTACGTAAAACACGAGTGTGTGCGCTGCAGACAGCGGTAAAGCATCGGTAGCAAGTCGATCTTACAATATTGAATGAATTAAAAAAAAAAATTAAGAAAAAAAAAATTTTTTTGGTTTAATTTTTTTTTGGTTACATTTTTTTCCCCCCGTTGCTTTTCACTTCCATCCTTTGGAAATCTATAAAAACTGCAATAATGACTCTCAGAATGATGGTTACAATCGGGTACAAAACACGACACGCAGTTAATGTTACCAGAGCATATGATTGTGTAGAACCAGCAGGCTCGCTGTCATGCCACCGTGACGTCATCACTTCGGTACTCTATAGGGATCCCTATTATATATATATATATATCCCTAATATATATTAATAGGGATCCCTATGATCTGCTTCTGATAGAGATGCTATAACAGCACAACTTGGGCCAAAACAAAATATAGGTGTGGTTACGGTTTCCTGACCGACCCTATTTATTCTCAGCAACCCTAAACATTTTAATTGTCAATTTTCTTTAAAGCAAAAAAAATATTAAAAAATATGAATTGGACAGTTCCTGCTTCAAAAGGCACAACGCACATCCTTCGGACATGGTTCATAAATAAAATATTTCAAGAAAATTAAATGTTTTTCCTACCTGCCTACCCTATTTTTTTTCGGCATGTAACAGTAACCACACATATATTTTGTTTTGGCCTTAGAATAACCTGCTGGATATATGCAAGGACACATACCTCACACTCAGCCTGTAGCAGATTAGACTCATATTTTTGTTTTTGCTCAGTGTTCAGTGCCTGTTCATCCTTCCCTGGGTAATTCAATATAATACAATATAAGACAATTTAATCAATAAAAACCATTTCACAATTTAAACTTTTTATTTTCTAAAAAAAGAGAAATCTGATACACAAATATGAGTGGGCAAGGATGATCAACCCTGTCAGAGTTTTGCACCATTTTATCACCTTTCTGCTCCACCTAGTTCAGGAATCCGCTCAGAACTGACATTTAACAATACGGTATGTCTTGTGTAATAATATAACTTGCTTACATTTATCCAAAATTTCTTGATGTTTCTCAAATTGGGTTATTTCCAGCTTCGTAAATTGACTAGACAGATCCTATAAGTAGTTGTTTGAAAATGTGTTATTGGTTAATAACTGTACTGTCATTTAAACAATGTTATGTAACAATTAATCGAATTAAATCAATGTCATAAATAAATAAATATAATCAGGAGTAGATAATAGGGTCCCTATTATCTACTCCTGATATAATGCAAACTATGTGGTTCCACTAAGAATGCCATACATAAATTTTAATCTATTGATCAATTCACTAATTAACTGACTTCAAACTGTTCTATCCGTTCTTTGTCCAAGTATTTTAGTTCAGTTCTGTCTTCTTCACCTAAGTTAAATATAATGTAATATTAGTAGAATATAGCTATAGGCAACTACACAAGAGAATATAGCTTAATTGCTAATATATCATGTGTTTATGTTCGTTCAATTAAGGGATTGATGAAATGCGATTGGGCATCACAAAAATATTTTGACCTAATATGAAATTAACTATTAGCACTATAACCTCGGCTTAACCTGAATGCCAGTGATCTATGGGTAAACCGTTTACATACATAAAATATAGCCGCAACAACATGACCATTGATCATGATGCTGCTGTAGCGATGCTGGCGTGCAAGCTAGCATCGCGCGCGCTCATTAATTATTCAGGACGCCTATAGCAAGCAGAGGTGTTTAATAAACTGACCAGAGAGCGTGGTACGACAGAGGGAGTGCGGAGAAGGGGGCACGCAGTGCTCGCGAAGCAACGATCGCAGGTCGCATAGGAATGCGACCTGGCGAAGCTCAGGAGGTGAAAAGATAATGCCCGGATGTCCGTCGCGAAGGCCGGGCTCATATAAAAGGCGCGCCACGCTTGGAGCGGGAGAACTCCTCTCCCTGTTGTTCTACCCGACTGTTGTCTCGCACGTCCCTTGTACGCGTCACGGCTTATTTGTAACTCCCTGTTATCATGGCTCACAATATACGTGTTTGTGGTACGTTACGCTTCTAATTCGTGTTTGCTTTGCGTCTTCCACTACCGTTACTTATTACCCGGTACACACTATACGATCATGCGAAGTACAACCTTACACTGTACATTTGTAGCACTGTCTGCTTTGTGGATTTATACATATTTCAATGCACAGTAACAGGAACCATGTAATCAGAAGTAGATAATAGGGAATTATTTCCTATTATATACTTCTGATGTAATGTATGCAGAGTGGTGATACATACACTTCATTAGTCGATCCTCAATTGTTTCAATATGTGTCTTTAGAAAGGCATACATTTCTCTTGTTGTTACCATTCTGAAATAGGGGGAAAACTATTCATGCATGCCTAAGTCAGATTAATTCACACACAATATCGGTCTATATGAAGGACAACTGTGTATTATTAATGTGACCATTCTAAATTTGTTGCAATTGCATAGGTCTGCATCATTGACCTTTTATTTCTGCAGGACGTTTACATAACTTACTCATTGATAGGCTGGATTTGACCCCCATAAATTCAGAGTAAGAGTGACAATGAATCTGGTCACGGAGACCATCAAAATTTTAGCTGACTTAAGAACACAACAGAAAAACAGCAATATTTAGTTATTAATTAGGAAAGCAAATCCACAACCGATTTTGTGATGTCTTTGCTCATCTATTGCATTCACTTTCGACATGTGCACTCCCTTTAGCTATTTTACCCATTTTTTATCACTAGATGGTTACTACAGTACAGATCAGCTGTTAAGCCATGCAGTCAGCCTACTACCATTGCATAACTGACTGCTAACAAACCCACATTTTTAATAGCTAGCAGGCAATAATACTCTGCTCTTGCTCTTGATCACGATTGAAAACCCTTTAGACCACCCTGGCATAAAAAAACAAAATCGAAAGGGTGTTGAAGTTTATATACAATGTATACAAATGTTCTTGACTAAATGACTGTAGTTACGGATACACTCAAGCTATTAGTATTACAAATTTACCTTTGTTCCATTTCATCCCTGTGGTTAATTTCTTCCTGAATTTTTAAACTGAGATTTTCATTTTGCAGCTGCACATCAAGCAGAGTCTGTCGTAAGGCCTTTATAGTTTGTTCACTCTCCTCTAACAACTTTTCCTGCGCATGAAAGTTAATACAGAGTTGCATTTTTGTTAGTCATGGGTATAATATTATCATAGTTGAGTAGGTTAATAGTAGGTAATTTACCTTCCTACTAAAGACTAAATAGACTGACCACCAATATAGAGGCAGTGATGAGAGAAACTTATTGAATAGGGAGAGCTTGCACCGTCACATTGTTGATATATATATATATATGTAACGAATTTCAGTCTGTTGCAGCGTCAACATCCCCGCGTTCTACCCCCTGCAGTCTGCCCAGCATCCTTGGGTGATGTAGGCTTCGATGTAGGCCGAATCCCCACATGCTGTGGCAGTGTACACTTGCTTGACACGAGCTTGTATTGTGCCGTACTCGTGATACTGAAGCTGGCGTGCGTGTCACGTGTGATGCCGACGTGCTTGGCTACCTATTCCTGACGTATGATTGACGTGTGTTGAAGCCGTACACACGCTTCGAGGAGTATAAATACTGCGCTCTCCAGAGCATCGGCAGTCAGTATAAGCAGTCAGCCTGCTGGTTAGTCAGTCAGCCAGTTATCTAGTGACTGGTCAGTGGTAGTGACCAGCCAGTATCTGCGTGGAGCTGAGGGAAGAGCTACCACGAGAAGGAAATACACAACGCAAGGTATAGCACTGCAACCACTGCCGATGATCGCTGCACGGAATTGGCATCTCCCTACAGAGGATTGTCCTGGTAAGGCCTATAGTGCCTAGTTGCATCTGTTTTATTATACTCGAGCGTTACGCTGTGAGGAGTATTGCACCGTTTTTATGCTCACCCTGGTCTGTTGACCAGGGCAGAACAAAAGCCCCGGGCCTATTCCCAGCATGAACACTTTTACTTTTGAGTTGTGTTGTTTGTTCTTTTGTTGACTCGTACAATCCAGTGGTCGAACAGTGGGAGCGTCCCGCGTGACGGGGAAAAACGTTACATATATATATATCAACAACTATATATATATATATATATCAACAACTATATATATTGTTATACTGCTATAACACATCTAGTTTGTAAAAAAAAAACTAGAATCTGTTTAGACACGATGACGTAGTGGTAGAACCCTGGTTGTGTTATTTAAATAGATTTTTGGCATTTGTAAAAGATATCTTATGCAGCACATTACCTTCTGATGAAGCTCTATCTCTGTGCTGACTTTCCATTGAGCAATTTTCTCTGCCTCATGGTTAAGACGTGTGTGAAGGTTTACTAACCTATCATTGCCAGTCTGTTTGTGCATTTCTGTCTATATGCTCTATTAAACTAAAGTAAAACAATAGCATAATTTAGCTAAGAAACTGCCAAAATAGTGGTATTTTAGCATGTATGAGGAATGACTATCTAGGTAAAGTTCATGTACCACTAATGATCATGTTTGGTGTTATGCTAGATGACTAACTAACAGTAATCCTTTATTCATGCATACAGTCATACATATCTTCAATAAACAAGGGAAATTCGTCATTTACTAGCCTTAGAATACCTACGATTTACTACGCGCAACTCAACCAACTTGAGTTCAAATCGTACAGAGTATATTCACCTAGCATCGTGCAAAATCGTTTCCTCGTATACACCCGCAATCCGGAGATACAGACTAAAACGTACGACACGATTATCCATTCTGTTGCCAGCAAACCGAATGTATAAACCGCCTAACTTGAAACAAAAGTCAGCTACTAACGACTCTTGCGCCTGGCGATGCGGTGTGGCTCGCTGGAAGATTGGATATCGATGCAACACTCGGCGAGCTAATCTTTGACCTATTTACAGCTGCCTTTTGTTTCAGGTTAGGCGGTTTATACATTCGGTTTGATGGCAATTCAGAATGGATAATCGTGTCGTACGCTTTAGTCTGTATGCAAGTTGGTTGAGTTACGCTTAGTAAATCGTAGGTATTCTAAGGCTAGTAAATGACGAATTTCCCTTGTTTATTGAAGTCACACTCCTTCCCTATTATCCACTTCTGATACATATTGATATTGTCTATATATAAGTCTACATATAATTGTTATGTAATGTCTACCACGGATGATTTTTAGTTATGATGGCTAGTGGATTTTCAAGTCGGGGGGCCGATAGCATATTCTTCATAGGTACTGTTTTATCATCACAGAATCAAAACTGTACTTAAAATGTAGCAATCGAAGATGAGCATTGTCAAATTTTTTCGTGACTTGATTTGAATCTAAATGATCATAGTGGTCGGTGCAGGACCATTACACTTTACAGTATAATAGACTGGATCTTTTGCTATTTTTTTGTAAATTAGAGCCAGCATAAGATATTATTATTGGGCAGCTGCTATGTAAACCACTGGCACTGTCACTGTCGCTCAAGGGATCGTTGTCGTATCAGGTACTACAGATATATGTACCTGAGGTACACATATGTATACACAAAGTGTACCAGGCAGACTTGTACTACAGAAGTGTATACCCTAACCCTAACACTAACCCTAACGCTAAACATACCTCATATATAAAAATATAAACATAATACTAAACAACCTAAAACTACCATACCTCGGGTATACATATCTGTAGTACCTGATACGACAACGACCCCATCTGCGTCACTGTCAGTGTGTCACTGAAAGGGTACATATATTGTAGGGCAGGTTTAATTTGCTCACGGCAAGATTACACATTATACAAATGCCGAAATGGGCCGCCAATGATCGTGATCATAATTAATTGATTATGACAGTATTTCACTATGTATATACTACTTACTAGTATTCTTCATTTCATTAATAGAAATTAGAATACATCTCAATTATCATAATGTAGTAATAGTATTGATATAATAATAATAAGTGGTATATTATCAATGGCATAATGACAATGGTCAACATGGCTATACTACTACTAGTACTAGTAGTAGTACTACAAACTGTAGTACTAGAATTCGTCCTTAGAGTCTTAGACTACTGACTAGTTGAGTCTGTCTACTAGTACTACTACTACTCACTAGTAGTAGTACTAATTCGGTAAATGAAAGTGAAACGCCACATGATCTAGGTTTACTAATAGTAATTAATAGTAATAACAGTAATACTAATAGGCCTAGTACTGGTAGTAGACTATAGTATTAGGAATACTACAACTAGTAGTACTAGTAATAAGTAGTATTACTATTACTATTAGTAGTATAGTACCACTACCACTACCAGTAGGCCTACCAGGTAGGCCTACTAATGTCGAGTTCAGAGTTGGTCACAACATTCAACAACAATTTACACAAATAAAACGTTACAATTCTAGTAAATATAAAATTAATGAATACGATAAAATATTAAATTCTATAAGAACATGTACAAACTCATCCATAACAACCACGGCACACGTAGTCTACCTTAAACTAAACGGTAAACCAACTTTAACCCAAATGAAAATGGCAGTCGTCTGCGTCTGCATTCTGCAATGCTGCCCGGATCCAAAACAATTGAACGACTCGTATCTTTCATGTGTCGTGCCTAAACGCATCACTTTAACGTTTAATGTATGTACGTGTATTGAATTTATTGTATAATGCGAAATTCGTTCTTAACTCTCGTAGAAATGAGGAGCAACCTTCATAACAAAAAAAATCTGTTTTAATCTGTTGTGCCCCAAGGCGTAACAATTTTCGTTATCGTCATCGTCAGCATTGTTCTTTCCATGTTGGGAGAAAGCAAACTGCATGCAGCGCCCCCTTCCCACACTCAGTAGAATTGAGCCAGCGCGAGAGCGCCATCTGTCGTGGAGTTTGGGGAGAAAGTAGACCAAAAACTGACTGCTGAGACTACTGAGACTGCATGTACTCGACTAATTCTGAGATTAGATGAAATATAGCAGTAGACGAAGAGGGAAGTAGACTAACCGGGATGTTACTGGGGCACCGGCGTGTATAATGTATATGCTCTGCAGATAAGCTTTTCGAGAAATGGTGTGAAATGATGCAATTTTCTGCAAAGTTCAAAATGCTGGAAAGTGGGAAATATTTAATTTGTACATTTTCTTGTGGAAATGAATCAATAAAATGCCTTTTTAACTTGAGATCAGTTACTGCATCCTTTCAAACTTTCGTATGTGCCCCTTTGCTGAAGAAAGAATGTTTCCCCAGAAAATAATAGGCCCTACAGGCAGCCACACGTACTCAACCAGCATCTACGTGAAATAGAAAAAGAATTATTTTGTGTGTGTTTTAAACGATAGCAAGAGTAGATAAATAACATTTATCTAGATAATGTTATTTATCTACTCTTGACGATAGGTATAGACGTATGGTATACTGCAATTTCTCGCAAATTAGGCATGAAAAGACTGTGCCGTCCAGAACGTCTTATTCATACAAAAACGCTGTAGGCCTACAATACAAATGAAACATCAAAAACTTATTACGAACCATGCAAGCAGTTTCGTTACTTATTTGGAAGTTTCCGTTCACACATCTGTCTGGAGTATCCGTAGAAATAATATAGGCTACTATAGTTAGACTATTAGTGTCTCTATATGTTTCTATGGGAGAATCACAGGAATTCTGAAAACTAACGCACGTATACCGGCCAGACACGCGTGTTCCATATATACACGTTGGATGTAAAATGCATTCCATGTTGCAAACCATAACATGGACTGATATTATGGGGCGCCAAGTGTCGCATGACTGATTTCGTTACGAAATCATTGATTTCGTAACGAAATCAGTGCGGCGTGTGTGTTGTTGCTGGTTCAACCCTCGCTCTGTATCTACCTAGAAGCTTCTTTATTGCCACCCTAAACTCGTCATACTTCATGAAGTATATGATAGGGTTCAGAAGCGTGTTCACGGAAGCAGCTGCAATTCGTATCTGGCGCAGTACGTTGAACGCCCGCGGGCGTGTTTCTGCAATTGACGTCGCCAGAAACGTCAGTAAAATGTTGGGACTTATTAGTAGGATGGACACGCCAACGACAGTTAGGATGAGTTTGGCTGCTTTGAACGTTCCAGCGCTTGATTAGTTGCTGCGGCAACACGTCGGCTGTGGTCAATCATGATCCGACCTATAACGACGTACGCGTACGTCATGAACAGTAACACGGCCGCGTAGTTGATAGCGACATACCAGCTCAGCCATTTATTGGTTATCATATAACAACACACTACATTCCGGGTCGCCATCTTGTGATCGCCTGAACCACGGCTATTGACCCGTACCCAGTTGTATACAGCCAGACGGACAGCAACATAAATTTTGCTGCTCTAGGAGTCATCAGCTGGCTGTAGCGAAACGGATGGACGATAGCAATGTAGCGGTCCAACGTCGCAAGTCCAATCGTCAGCATTGATGCACCAACTGAGACGTAGATGACAAAAACGTATATACCACAAGCTATCTCTTTCTTATGATACTCATGTATGAAAGCTCTGAGGAATACAGTTGCTCCAACTGCGACCGCTGTTAATGTATCGGCACATGCCAGATTAATGATGAAGTAGTTCCTTTGCGTTCCAAGAAAGTCGAACCTGACGTATTCGACCATTATGAGAGCATTTATCACGAGGATAGTGATCGCAACCACAAGCACGAACGCGCCATAAAGAAACCCGACATTAGCCTGCGAATTGTGAGAAGCTTGGATTTCACTGTTGGTGTGGTTTGTGATGTGTTCTATAGTGCCGTTATCATCCCGGACAGTGTAATTACGTGGCTCCATGTTAACTGGCCGCAAGTTGTTCTCCTCTTCAGTTAGGCTTTGTACTAGTACGTGCGAAAAGCGTCACCTTGTCACAGCGGTGGCTGCCGCTTAATGCCGCATATCATAGTCTGCATTACTTCTCCCTTGTCAGTTGTTATCTCACTCGGCTGTCTTTCACGTATGAATTTCACCTACTGTGTGTAGCTAGCAAAGTAAACATAGCGACCTCCCCCAGACCGCCCACGATCATCCAGTTTGAGAACACTATTATAATGTGGTCTGTAATGCCAGTGCCTGTTGCGGATTTTCCCTAACCGCTTCCGCTGGTTAATTACTATACGCTCACGCATACCAATGATTCTGTAACACTTTTGTTTATTTTTATACAATTTACGACTTTGTTTCACTCTATACGCATGTTAAAACCACTAGCTCTTTCCACATTATCATCCGCTCTCTCTCTCTCTCTCTGCTCACTTTACTCGACTCATGTACGTCCCCTCTCTCTGAACACGGCCCGACTCCTTCTCGTCCGCTTTCTCTGCTTGCTCTACTCAACTCGACTCCTCGACGTCCCATCTGTCTGATCAATCTACCTGCCCTTTTCACACATACCCGTTTGCTCTCTGTGAGCGCTCGCTTCGATTGCCCGCTCTTTTCGTACTCTTTCTTTCGTATTCTTATCTTTACCGTAATTTCTACACTATGCTCAAATAATTTCCTGGCATACATAATGCATACAACACTACATAATTACATAACACTACCCGCACATGGAAGCAATATTTTACGACAATGCAATTAGAATAAAATTTATCGTCCATAAGTGTTATACAGTAATACATGAATAAGAGGTCTACGCATTATAAAATAATATTCCCACAAAAATGCTACATCATATAGACAGGCAGGCGTAGCTACTAGAATTAGAGAACGACAAAAAGTGCCTCCAATAGAATACCCTAATTAAATACCACACACTTATATTTATATACAAAAACATCTTTTCTCCAGTATTTCTCCATGTAACAGACTGTTTTCATTACATGTATTTGTATTTGAATTATATGCAATAAAGATTTAATAATAATAATACAAATAACAATAATAATATAACTCTCTCCTTTGCTATTCTGCTCAGCACTAACACCGCTTACCAACATGCTAAATAGACAGGGTCTGGGATTTACAATCGATAAACACAAAACCATCAGCCACCTGCTCTACATAGATGACCTTAAACTGTTCACCAAGAACGAATATGAGCTGGAGCAGGCCTTGGTAACAGTCAAAGCATTCAGTGATCACATCAAAATGAAGTTCGGCTTGGAAACGGAAGGTGATTTAAAAGGAATCTTAAAAGGTGGTAAGCTAGTAAAAAGTCGAAATATCGAGCTTGATTACAAGACAGCCTTCCAAAGTCTGAACCACGCCCACGCGGATACCTACAAATATCTTGGTGTTGACGAAAGTGATGGTATTCAGTATGCAAAGATGAAGGAGAACATTGCTAAGGAGTACTATCGCCGAGTACGCCTAGTTCTCAAGTCTGAGCCCTGCTAAAAACAACAACAAGATAACAGCGATCAATAGCCCGGTCCCCGTGTACAGGTTCGGGGTGATCAACTGGTTAATTGCGATCAGATATCGAAAGGATGGATCGCAAGACAAGAAAGCTCCTAACCATGACGGGCTCCATCACCCAAAAGCAGACGTAGAGCGACTGTACATCAAGAGGCAAAATGGTGGTCGTGGTCTCATTGAACTAATGTCTGCATACAACACTGC